AATGCATTGTGCCTCAGTTTTCTTATCAGTAAAATGGGTATACTGATAGTGCTTACCTCATAGAGTTGTGAGGATTGAATGAATTAATACAAAGGGGTGTATAAAACACTCTGGAATGTATAGATGCTTACAAAATGCTAATATTCTTACATTTATGTGCTTCTGTCTGTTATTTGACAATGTCAAATGTCAACAAAATCTGATGTTTAGAGTGAATAAATGTAAGGGTTTTGGGGGCTAAAGGATGGATTTTACTTTTCCTTTGAAGAACGCAGTGCTTAGGACTTGGTGGTTAAACACATGGAGGCCACAAGTCAGGCCACCTGGCTTCAAATTCCAGCTCACCTTCAAACCATTGGCTAACCTCCAAAGTGTGCATGTGTGGGGGAAGATTCCAAAAAGTTCATTGAAAAGCAATAGTTAGAAAACTAAAAGAACTGAACACATTCTGCAGCTACTGCCAAGTTAGAGGAGCTTGGTAAACAGGCTTTTCATTGAAACCCTGAAATAAAGACCATGTCCCAGGACTAAGGGGTTTGCTTTGAACTAAGGACAAAATCCAGATAGACCTACATTAACAAAATGGAAAACAAAGTGTCTGCAAGTTCAAGCTGATCAGTCAGTAATTTAACTACCTGCTAGAACAAAGCCTAGCTTGCTTCAAAGTTTCTGCAACACATCATCCACAACATCTAATATACAATAAAAATTATTCATCATATGAAGAAATAGAAAAACGTGACACATGGTCAAAGAAAAAGCAGTTAAATAGAATTAGACCCCACAATTACTGAGTATCGAAATTTGCACAGAGACCATTAGGCAACTATTAAGTTCAAGGACTTAAAAGAAAAGATGGTCACATTAAATGAACACATGAAGAACTGCAGCAAAGAAATGAAAACCAATAATAATAAGCAAATGCCAATTCTAGAACTAAAAAGCAAAATATCAGAAATTTTAAAAATACACAAGATAGATTTAATAGCAGATTGGAGATGGTAGAAGAAAACGTAGGAAAACTTGAAGATAGATTAATATTCAATGTGGGAACATATATCAGAACTTCAGTAACTTGTAGAACAATATCAAACAGTCAAATATGTATATAGTTGAAGCCTCAGAAGAAAAGGAGAGAAAGAATGCAGTTAAAAAGTACTTGAGAAAATAATAGCCAGAATTTACCAAATATGGTTTAAAACATCTTTATAGGTTCAATGAGCACAGCAAGCCACAGTAGTATAAATACAAAAAACAAACAAGAATGCCTGGGTACATCATAGTCAACCTGATAAAAACCAAAATAAAGAGAAAATCTTACAACCATTCAGAGAATAACACATGACACACAAAGATACATAATTTAGTTTTGATAACATTTCACCAGAAACAATGAAGGTAAGAAGACAATGGAATAATACCTTTACAGTGCTAAAATAGGTCAATGCAGAATTCTGTAGCCAGAAAAAGTATTCTTCAAAAATAGAGGCAATATGAAGATATTTTAAAATAAATGTAATGAAGGTTAAAAAAATTGTTGCCAGCAGTCCAGCACTAAAAGAAATGCAAAAGAAAATTCTTTAGCTGAAAGGGAAATGACACCAGGTAGAAACATGAATTGACAGAAACAAAGTGTGCTGAAATGGTAAATATGTGGATACATGTAAAAAGCTGTATTTCTCTTTCTTTTAATTTTTTAAAAGACAAATGACCATTAAACACAAGAATAACATTCTATTGTGGTGTTTATAACATTTCTAAATGCAAAATGTATGATAACAAAAACATGAAGAAAAGGGGATAATAAATGGATTATACTGTTGCAAGATTCTCATATTTTATGTAAAATGGTACAAAATGCTACATAGACTGTGATGAATTAAGAATTACTATTGTTATCCATAGAACTACCACTAAAAATTAAAAAAGAGGTATTGCTGAAACCAAAAGAAGGCAGGACAAGAGAAATCGAGCAACAAAGAAATAGCACAAACGAAGAACAAACAGCAAAATGGTAGACCTAATTCAATCATATAAATAATTGTATTTAATATAAATGGAGCAAACACTCCAATTAAATGGCATATATCATCAGATTGAATAAGAAAGAAAAACCCACCACAAAAAATGCTGTCCACAAAAAATGGACTTTAGCTAGAAAGACAAAGATATATGGAAAATAAGAAAGTATAAAAATGTACCATGTACAATAAACATAAGAAAACTTACATTAATATCAGACCAGGTAGACTTCAAGACAAGGAGTATTTCCAGAGACAAAATGGACATTTCTTGATGATAAAATAACTCATCAGGAATGAAGACATAACAATCCATAAAATGTGGATGCATCTCATAAAAGTGCTTCAACATACATGAAGCAATAAATGACAGAACTAAAGGGGAAAATATAGAAATCTACACAGTTGAGGTTTTAGCACTCATTTTCAGTAACTGATAGAGTAATTAAATAAAAAAATCAGTAAGAAAAGGAAAACGTAAGGCACAGAATAAGAAAAAAAAATTTGTAATACACAAGTGTGAAAAGACCTGTATCCGGAATATATAAAGAGATCTTATACATCACAAGACCAATAATCCCATGAAAAGTAGACAGATGACTCAAACTGGCATTTCAGAAAAGAAGTTAGGCACGAACAAAAAGCACATGAAAATGGTGGTTACATAGTTGTATACATTTTTCAAAGCTCACAAAATTGTACACTTAAGACACTTAATGTGCCTATCATTATACATAAATTTTGCCTAATAAAAATATTTTGCAGGAGAAAAAAGAAGATAAGGACCTAGATTTGAATCCCAGCTCAGTCATTGGATTTCAGTGACCTTGGGCAAATTACTTAACCTCTCAGAGCCCCAGTTTCTTTATTTGTAAAATGGAAACAATGTTGATCTCTTCACTGGGCTGTTGTGAAGATTAAATATAACAAGCAACCAAAGACAAAAAACACCTGGTTCATGTGAGGCACTTTCTTGAGTTTAAATGGACTTTCTTGGTTCCCTACCTGCCTTCCTCCTCTCTGCCTTCCAGCTCTTCAAAATTCTAAAAATGTGGAAATACTAAAAATTAACCCAAACAATGAAATGAACCAGCAAAATGAATCCCAATGAAGAGTACAGTTGACCTTTGAACACCCTGAGTTTGAACTGCATGAGCCCATTTAAACGTGGATTCCCTTCCACTTCTGCCACCCTTGAGACACCAAGACCAGCCCCTCCTCTTCCCTTTTCCTCAGGCTACTCAACATGAAGAAGATAAGGATGAAGACTTTTATGATGATCTGTTTCCACTTAATGAATAGTAAACATATTTTCTCTTCTTTATGATCTTCTGAATAACATTTTCTTTTCTCTAGCTTACTTTACTGTAAGAATACATTGTATAATACATACAACATACACGTGAATTAATTGATGGCTTATGTTATTGGTAAGGCTTCCAGTCACCAGTAGGCTATTAGTAGCTACTTTTCAGGGGGCCAAAATTTATAAACAGATTTTTGACCATGCAGAGGGTTGGTGCCCCAACTGTGTTGCTCAAGGGTCAACTGTAGGTAGAAGACTTGAACAGACATTTTAAAAAAGCATGAAATGGTGGTTACATGACACAATGATTTAAAAAGTGCCTAAAAATGGTGGCTACTTATCTGTATATTCCACTGATTCCCCCATGGATTCCTTCATTACAAGCAAGGAAGAAAAGGAGAGTGGGGAATGTTCTATGTCTCTGCAGTGGGAGGAACCATGTGACTAAGGGAAGAAATCTGACTGATGTCACTTTCTCATTTTTGGTATATAAGCATGATACTAAAATGGAACCACTCCTATCAGTTGATCAGTCCTATAAACTGTTTCATTGATAACTATCTTCCATGTTTTAGAGCCCCTTAGAAAGCAGACACAGGCCGGGTGTGGTGGCTCACACCTATAATCCCAGTACTTTGGGAGGCCGAGGTCAGAGGATTGCCTGAGCCTGCAGGTTCGAGATCAGCCTGGGCAACTTGGCAAGACCTCATCTCTACAATAAATTAAAAAATCAGCTGGGCATGATGGCGCGTGTCTGTAGTTCCAGCTACTTGGAAGGCTGAGGCAGAAGGATTGCCTGAGCCCAGCAAGTTGAGGCTGCAGTGGCCGGGAGCGTGCCACTGTCCTCCAGTCAGGGTATAGAGTGAGACTCCAACTCAAAAAAAAAAGAAAGCAGACACAGAGCAAATGTCCAGCCTCAAGTATAGGATAGTGTTTGCAACCATGTAGATTTAGATATAGTAAAAGTTGGCTTTCTAGCAACTAAAGTGAATTGAGCAGCATAAAGATAACCTTGAAGTCAACAACCAAGTGAAAGTTAAATTCTGTATAGTCTTAATACTAACTATGAAATATTCCATATCAAAGTTCTTTAAAACTGACTCATTTTGGTGATGATAAAATGGAAACCCAGTGAAGTTAAGAGCTTAGCTAAGATCACAGAGTTGGGTAGTAGATTTGCTCTTTCAGGACACCCTGCCTCTGACCCTCCCTGTGATAGCACTGCATATTTACATCACTGTGGTCGACTTAGCTTCCTGCAGGTGCCTCTAGCACATTTGTGTGGGAGTACACAGAGCGTAGCAGTTCATGCCATGGGAAAAAGAATACCAAAAATGCAAATAACTGTACCTGGTGCCAATCATTACAGCAAGGTGGGCTGGGAAAAGAAACTGTGGATTTAATTTTCAATGAGATGTGAAAGCATTTCGGAAAGGGTTCCTGTGGCAGAGGGAGGGTGATCTGGATGGCACAGTAAGGTGTTTATGCACAGAAATAAGCTGTTTCTAATTGTTGCATCATTGGCCAGATGCAATAATGAAGTAATTTACAGGAGGATACAAAGGGGACGTTTAAGAGAAACGTGCTTGTTGGCCTAAGGAAATTACCTGCAGGATTTAAAAATGTAATTTAAAGAGGGAGGAGAATTGGGAAGCAAGAAATGGAATAAATACCTTGAAGACTATATGCAGCATCATTTGTAGGCCATTTTTGCCAGGGTACTTCCTGGCAATGTTTGATGAAGACAAGTTGAAGAGGTTGGCTCCCGTTTCGGTACAGATGGCGTGGACCAGCATTTTCTTCCCCACCCCAGCTGGCCCGACCAACAGCAGTGATTTCACCAAAGGTGCTTTCTCATGCACTGCTGCAGAACCTAAAAAAGGCAGAGGCAAAAGCTCTAACATTCCTTGAAAATCTAAGATAATCCGTGGTTCTTCGACTAGGATATCTCAAGGCCATGATTGCATTGTATGACCCCGGTTTCTGCAATGGTGATAAATGTGTTGAAAGCATTTCAAACCAGAGGCACGCCTCCACCCCAACTGGCCCTGTGACATCTTTAATTTGTATGTCAGGGCTCATGGTGGGGCCATAGGGCCTCCGTGGGTCCTCAGTACCCTTATTTTCCTCATCCTCATACCAGTATTTCTCCTAAACTCATAAATTTAAAGAGCATTCTTGCAATAGCTTACCTCTAATTTTTTTTTTTTGAGTGCTTTCTTTGTCAGCAGCAGCATTACATTCTTTGAAAGCTTGGGAAAAGGAATGTGGAGACACAGATGATAAGGTTGACTGAAAAGTGTTTATTCCCCTGAAACCTTCTTTCCTAGCATTTAGTGGTAAGGTGACAGGGGACAGTTAGGGGGTAGAGAGGGGTGCCAGTTGTTGGGTTCCCTGAAAGGTGGTCAGGGATCTTGGGGTACCAAGGGTTCTGGCTGAAGTCTGGGGGCTGGGAGAAGTGACTTGAATTATTATAGTCATTCAGAAGCTCATGCCTTATGTTCTCCTGGAAGATAGGGAGGGAGGAGAGGACAGTGGTCACCAAGGTCACCCAGAGAAGTGAAGAGAGAGGTTCAGGGAAAGCCTCTGTATGTGGGCCTGGCTGACCTCAGGGAGGGCAAAAAAGGAAGAGAAAGACCAAGATTCAGGCAGCAGGAATCTGAACTTTCTTCTGCCCTGGTTTCTAGTCTATCAGTACCAGCAGGGTTAATCTGACACTTGATAATAAAGTGATTTGAATTATTATAGTCATTCAGAAGCTCATGCCTCATGTTCTCAACCACACTGTCAATTTCTTTAGGGCTCAGAATGGACCCCAGGCTTGGGTATATTCTCCACTGCAGTGAACACAGGCAGAGCACATATTGGGCATTAAGTAATTATAAAGTGACCAAAATTAAATGCTGGAAAGTGTTCTGATCAAAACGTCTACTATCATGTTAGTTTGCTTTTGGTCACCTACTGGGCTCTGTTTTAAAAATCAGCTATAAATATGTCAACATAATTATTATCATGCTTTTCTTTTTTCTTGTGTAACTGAAAAGATATAGGACATTTATGTGATAGCTAGTGACATAATTTTTACAGTTACCTACCATTTTCCACATAAACTTGGAAAATAGTTTTGAGTAAGTTCTCTTTAAAAAGTAATTAAAAGAGCATGCTTTTTTGTGGTTAGTGACAATACAGTAATGTAATATGATAGAGGAGATATTGTTCTCCACAATAGGAGAAAGAGATGCCATTCATTCATTGTCATCCATTCAAAACCTAGGTATTGAGGGGCTGCTCCGTGCACAGCCCTGGCTGGGGGACAAGGAGGGTGGTTGGTTCAAATATGGAAAAGACTCAGAATTTGCTGCCAAGAGTTTATGGCCAGGAACAGCACTAAGACCACAGTAGATATAACTTGGCAAATGATGCCAAGATGTGTGAGCATCACAGAGAGTTCAGAGAAGAAACTGATCCTGGCTGGGGGATGGGGAGGGGAGACTCGGGCTGGACTTGCAGAGGATGACATCTGAGCTGGCTTCTGAGGAATGGAAAGAACAGGAGTGTGCAGTGAAGGGGGAGTGTGAGAAGGCTCCAGGTAAGAGGGCACAGGACACAGGTCTGCAGTGGGAAATCAGGCTGGTAGGGGGAATGGTAAGGTGACAGGACAGTTAGGGGTAGTGAGGGGTGCCAGCTGTTGGGCTCCCTGAAAGGTGATCAGAGATCTCGGGTACGAAGAATGCTGGCTGAGTCCAGGGGCTGGGAGAAGTTCCTGGGAGACAGGCAGGGAGGAGAGGACAGTGCTGAGGACAGAATCTTGGGGAGGGGACAGCAGGAGGGAAGAACAACAAGGGTGGGTAAGCAAGAGACCCAGGGAAAGGTGTGGCAGACCTTCCAGAGGAAGTGGGTAGTCACCAAGGTCACCCAGAGAAGTGAAGAGAGAGGTTCAGGGAAGGCCTTTGTACATGGGCCTGGCTGACCTCAGGGCAGGGCAAAGGCGGGCAGAGGGCCCAGGAGTCAGCGAGACACACGTGACCCAGTGACCACAGCTCTTCCTGCTCCTCTCAAGAGACATAATACAGTACCAGCTTTCACACCCAAGCCCTGTTTAACCTTTGGAGGATTAAAGAGTAACAAGGAGGCCAACATTCTGTGTCCTAAACCTGCTTTTGCTTCTTCTTAGCCCCGAGACTCTAAGGAAGTTCCTCTGCATCTCGGAAGAGCTTGCTAATCTGTATAAGTGAGACAATGTCCACCTTGATGGGTTCAGGCTGGAAATGAAAAGTGGGTGTGCAACTTCCAAGGGCACTGTTTATGCTCAGTAAGAATGCCATCTCCCTTCCTTTCTCCCTGACCTTTGAGGTCAGTAACATTTCCAGGAGGGTGAGTGAACTCTGATCAGACACTTCCTGAGCTTTCTCTTATGTACCAAGGGGGCTTTGGAGTGTAAGCCCTAGCCCTGGGAGCCAAGGCTGCCATTGGTGTCCCCTTGTCTGGTGCAAAGGGTGGCCTCGTGGAGATGTTTTCAATGTCCTCTGCTGAGTGGCTGGGTTTGTTAGTTCAGGCCGTGGCTACCACCAGGGTGACCTGAACCATCAGGGCCAAAAACATTCCATTTTGTAACAGGATGCTATTTTAACATATGAAGTTTAAACTAAGCATCCAGAAGCTTATTTGTATACATACTTTATCTGCCTGGCTTGTTTGTGCATTCCAGACACATGACACAAAACCTCTGTCATGAGAACAAATGCTCCAGCTAGCCCTGTGCTTGGGACAACTCAGCTGCAGTTAGCGGTTTCCTCAGTGGCAAAGAGTGGGTCCTGGCAGGATGCTTCTTGACATACTTCTCTGATGCTTTCAAAGCCAGCTCAGAAACTATAGACACCAACTTGTATCCACAAGATGAGATTGTGAAATATACTGTATGCTCATTTGTGAGGTGTTCTCTTAAAAACTTGTCAGCTCAGGCCAGGTACCGTGGCTCAAGCCTATAATCCCAGCACTTTGGGAGGTGGAGGTGAGAGGATTGTCTGAGCTCAGGGGTTCGAGACCAGCCTGCGCAACTTGGCAGCCTTGACTGTACAATAAATTAAAAAATTAGCTAGGCATGGTGGCACATGCCTGTGATTCCAGTTTATTGGAAGGTGGAAGTAGAAGGATCACCTGAACCCAGCAGGTGGAGGCTGCAGTGACTGTGAGTGTGCCACTGCACTCCAGTTGGGTGACAGGGTAAGACTCCAACTCAAAAAAAGAAAAAAAGAAAAAAACAAACCCATCAGCTCTTGGTACTTTCTGCTTTACTGTTTTCCATGATATCTGAGGAGGTTTGTGGTCTAATCTATTTATTTTATTTTCATTGACCTCATAAATATTATATTAACCTTAAATTATGCTGTTCTCCAGATATGATATATTTATATGTTATATACAATATAACCTATATGTACATATATATGATGTGTATGTATAATTGACATTGACTTCAAATTGCATTTACTACTTCTGACATTAAGTTAATGAGGAATTAACTATTTCTTAAGTTCTTATTTAAGTTAACATGGAGCAATGTTATAAGTGCTCAAACTACTACTATCTCATTTGAAAGCAAATTAAAAAATACAAAGTGATTTCTATTTCAAAATGTTGTCAGAGCACAGCCTGGCTGGAGTCACATGTCCCTGTCCCAGGTGACACACATATCAAAGCCATAAGAAACCTGAAAGTCAGTGAGAGTAGCAGATATCTGTGTCACAGAAAACTCATCTTTCCTGAATCACTCGCATACCACAGAGCTCTGGTGCATCTGTCTGAAAAATCACAATTGAGCCTTATTTAGCAATGACAGTGGACTTCAGTGAAAACTGGCAGAGCCATAAAGGTGATCCTTTAGCTCCATGAAATACACTTTCACTGACTCCTGAAAGGCTGCCTCTGTTTAGGACCTAGTAATAGAAGCCTGTGTGTACAAGGCAAGCGGTAACCCTTGCCTTTTCTCCAATTTGATAAATGTTAATGGAAAGTTCTTGCTTTGCCTATTATCTCTCCAGCTCATTGCCTATAAGTCCTTCAGCCCAGAACTGCTAAGCAGTCACACACAGGTAGTGCAGAAGTGCCTTCCCTGGTCAGTACCCAGATGAACTAATGAAATGAAAGTGTCACTCAGAATTCTCAATATCAAATGTTAAACTGCAATGCACCTTTGATGACAAACAGGAACGTACTGTCCAAGCCAGCAAGTGGTGCTGCCTGCTTTTAGAAAAGTCACCCCTGTGTGTGTAGAGTCTTTACCTAAAGGCAAGATTCCGTACAAGGTGATGAGCTGTCTGACGTCCAGGAGAGAAGGCATGGGTTCTATGGACACCTGGCGAAGGGTGGTCCCCAGGTAGCTGTACTCACCTGGAGAGAAAGAAACAGAGGCTAAAGGACTGGGAAACTATGCTGGTCTGAGCTGCATCATTTTGGTCCTTGCAAGATTAGCACAGAATACAAATTTAAAATTTCAGAGCTAATATACATATTAGGGAGAGTTGTTGCAAATAACACATCTTTTCTCAGACAAAGGTTTGAAGAAAAAGTATCCAGGCAAGAAAGCATTGCTATACTACTGTGGTAAACTGGGAATTATGTTGACTATTATATTAACATCCTAATATTTTTTAAAATAACATTTGAACATTGAGCTATGTGAAATGGAAGAAAGTTTGAGAAACATGCAAAGAAGGCTAAAATATGGTGAGTTTTGTTTTATTTATAGTCTAAGAGATTATATATAACATTTGAACAGATTTAAAAAATAAATTATTTAAGATCGATGTGGAATTTGTATTGGAGCTGTGTAGATCTGAATTAAAATGCAGTTATTTGAAAGAAAAGGTATGAGTCTAATTTAGGATAAATAGAAATATCTCCTTTTGAGAGTAATATTCATTTACATTTTTATCATTTTTAAAGGATTACCAAAGGAATAATACAGAAATAAATCTTTACAAGTTTAATTAGAAGATATCAAAGGGCTTAATTGTAACTAGTCATAAATCTGAAGTGTTATTTTCTAACTAATTTAGATAAGGTCACCAAGAAAATTAGTTTGGCTGTCTCCATTTGTCATGAGGATGGACCTTTATATGCTCATATGATTCTCTCTTGATTTGTATCTGAATCTGGAGTAAAAATATTCAATGAATGAAACACAGTGTCTTGATTTTTTTCCCTGATACTTTCTTCCTGATCTCACAGAGGTTTGGATGTTATATACATACGACAAGTACAATGTGCACATTTATGTGTGTATGAAACACAGAAAATATGAAAAGCTTTTAAGTATTTTCAAATGCTAAGGAAATCAGAATTAAAATTCAGATAATGATCGCTGTGTTGTTGTGGAGGGCAGCCTGTCAGAGCCACCACATGAAAAAAAAAAAGTCCTTGACAAGGACAATGGGTATTGGTTGAGAGAATGAGTAATAATGAAAGGGTCTATTATAGCTTCAGATACCACACTTTTTAATGAGCAGGTAATAAATAGAAGAGTGGTTAATTTAACCTCCGCTAGAATAGAAAGAGATCCTGTAGCAACCATTAAATCCAGTGCTCACTGCCAGTAAACATGTCATTAGAGGTGATATGAAAGTGACCCCAATTTTCCTGCTTATGTAAACTCGTATTACTATCCAGATGCCCCATATTTTCTAGACCCTAACAGATTTTATTTAAACAAATTATAGTATGTTGAATTTGCGGGTGTTGGTTCAGACACAGTGAAGGACACCACCAGCCTGGGCTATTTGCCAAGTTATGAGACTCACTCTGAAAGCATATTACCTTGTTTGCTGTTGCCCTGCACAGAAGCCATACCCCTTCTCATGCACTCATTCAGGGCTTAGAAAGTTCAGGATTCCCTGCACAGATACCAGATTTTCCACAAGGGAGGGAAGAAGAAAACAGTAGATGAAAAGGCATATGAGATAGAGGGCAAGAAAAAGGGTCAGGAAGCCTAGAATGATGGAGGAGAAAACAACAGGGAATGTATTATGTGTTGCATTGTGTTCCCTTATGATTCTTGTGCTGAATCCCCTGTATCTCAGAATGTGACTTTATTTGGAAAAAAGAGTAGTTGCAATGCAGGGCTCGGTGGCTTAGCCTGTAATCCCGCAAGTTTGGGAGGCTGAGGTGAGTGGATTGCCTGAGCCCGTGGGTTCGAGACCCGCCTGGGCAGCAAGACCTCATCTCTACAATAAA